GGGGCCTGCAGGGCTGGGCACTAACGCGTGTCTGCTTTCAGGTTGCCTGGAGGGTGAGGGGGCCGCGGAGGGCGACGCCCTGGAGGCCAAGTTCCCGTGTGCGCTGGCCATGTGGGAGCTCGGACACTGCGATCCCAAGAAATGCACTGGGAGGAAGCTGGCCCGGAAGGGCTTGCTCCGAATCCTGCGCCCCCGTCAGAGATTCCCGGGCCTCGTCCTCAGCCCCCTGGCTACCCAGTGCGTCTCCCCCGCTGACCGGTAGGTCCCGGGCAGGGCCCGCACCCCGATGACCTCGGTGCCAAGGCCGCGACGACGCAGGCTGTGAGGAGCGCTTGGTTCAGGGGGGAACTTCGACCACTGAGTCACGGCCACAACCGTGCTACAGAATAAACTTGACCTCCTGTTACCTTACACTGGTGCGTGAACATGAGCGATAGAGCCATTTCTGCACAGCGGTTATCAGGTGAAAAACACATCTGTAGGTCCTGCTGAGGAATCACAGTGGGTGCTTTGTAGGTTAATTTGTTCAGCATCATGGGCCTGTAGGTACTGTACTTTCTATGGTTTCATAGTCAAGTTCTTTGACAAGGCAACAGAATGCAGTAACTAGAAAACTTATCTGGGGGCAACACTGTGAGTTTTATTCAAATATGCCTGCAGAATTTTAATGAAGATACATTTACTCAGTCTTCAGAAGCAAGCGGAGAACCTAAATCTGATCTTTGGTGTACTTCTAAGAATGTGAACATTACTATTAGCCATTCTTCTGTCACATCTTAAACCTACAATTTTCAATTTGAAACGTATGGATAAACCCTTTTTGCCATGTGCATGTTCAGAGGAAAAGCATTTTTCATTGCATCTGAATTTCTGACCATTGTAAAACGTATGCTTTTTTGATTGACAGAAGGAGATTGTATGCACAGTCATTGTCAGTATAACTAGTGGCAGTTGTAATTCTCTATTTTATCAATACAATGGTAGCAATTTTTCAACTACAGTGACGTTTCATTTTTTTCAGGCATGTCATTGCTCAGAGTGGAATTGCAGTCATAGACTGCTCATGGGCCAGATTAGAAGAAACTCCCTTTAAGAGAATGAGAGGAAGTCATCTGCGGCTGCTGCCTTACTTGGTGGCTGCAAATCCTGTAAACTATGGTCGGCCATGCAAGCTGTCCTGTGTGGAAGCTTTTGCTGCAGCTTTTTGCATTATTGGTAGGCTTTCACATGTCTGATGTGAAATACATTACCAGCAGTTCTTGTGTCCTTAATAAATCAGAGGAGATGATCTGCAGTAGAATAAACTATTGCTGTCCCAAAGTCATCCCTTTGTTGAGTTTGGAATCAGATTGTCTAGCTTTCTTCCAAGTACTTGTATCTGGAAGCATCGGCGTATCTCTGGGGAGTTCATATCAGCTTCTAAACAGGACATGTATTCTGATGATCTTTGGTTTGTCAGGATGGCATTTAATGTGAGAAAAACTGTTAAAAAAAAACAGAAGACAGAGTGTGAATCTTTAGGCATCTTTGTCTTAATGAGAAGTATTGGCTGTCACTTAACAGGGTGGGTTCTGGTTAAGAGCAAAAGAAATTGCCCCTTCTGGTGCTGTTTTGCGAACTCATCACAGAACTTTCTTGACAATTGAAGAGAAATGCTCTACTATACTGCAGACAAACCTTATCTTCTGAAAGTATGTGCAGCTGCTCTCTTACTGAAGGACTGTGGGAGATAGAATAATTCATTATCTGAACAAAATATTTTTTATGTAACACCAAATAACTATGAACTTTTATTGGCTTTAGTTTGGTATTTCAAGATACACTGAAATTTGAAAAGACTTTTAATATTTTTAAAAGTCTGAATCTCTCTACATTGAACAAAATGCTGGCAAACATCTCACTACTGTAGCGATACAGAGTTACGTACTGAATTTACTTACTGTAAGCTGAGTGAACTCACACTGACAAAGAAAACTGACCACTTATTTTCTGTTTTAGGATTCCCAGATCTAGCTACCATTCTTCTAAGGAAATTCAAATGGGGTAAAGCATTTATGGACTTGAACAAAGATCTCTTGGAAAGATACGCAGCCTGTCATTGCCAGGAAGAAGTGTTGAAAGTTGAAAAGGACTTTCTAGCCAGCATCCAAGAAACAAAAGATGAAGAAATAGGTAAGAAAAAAACCTAGACAAACCACATACCCCCTTTTCCTAACTAGTTTCCTTACAATCTTTTCGTTTAATCTCATAAAAATATTGGCATGGTAGAAGATAACAATTTTTTTAAGATATGTTGTTCTGTCTTTACACTGTGTACTCTTCTTATAATCAAGGTTGCCTATTTTTTCAGCTTGGATGAAAACAACTAAAACAATTTAATGCACATAGTAGTGTATTCACAGCTGAACTGTGGAGCAGCTACCCTGATTAAATTAAGAATATTGGAGAACTACAGAGAAAATATGATGCTTCCTCATTTTATCTACAGCTGTTAAAAGCAGAGTATGAGTAAAAAGACCAGTAATTCAGGGGGATTATAAAAGAAATACAGGCATACAGTTTGACAGGTAGTTATATATAAACCTAAGACTGACCTTTAACAGACATGTTTATATAGACCATGATCAAGATGTTTAAGATCACGCCTATAAAGGTAATAAAAATAGCTTATAATAAGTGCAGTAGTTTATTCTCAGTTTTTTCTAGTAACTTATTGGTATCCCAGTATTTCAGGCTATAGTCACAGGTGAGTGTCTGGTTTCATTCAAGACAGCACAAAAAAGCCAAGTCAAATTATCAAGAACATATGAAGAAAGATGCTCCTAATAAATCTTTTCTAAGTGGTTAAGTCCGATAAAAGCAGGCCAGGGGAGCACAGTGTAAGGCAATGGTAGACAGCCTTTAGTTTCTCTGAACTTGGATCTCTCTACTGTGACGTGCTAGGCACAACGAAATGTTCCTGACGTTAGATGGAAGCCTAACTACTGTTACATTAAACTGAAGACAGTTCTTAAGAGGCAACACTACTGTGCCACGCAAAGCACTCTTCCACCCACAATTGTGTGTGTTTTCTGGATGGACTGCAGTACCAAAGCTGTCATGCCTTGTTTGACTTCTGAGGTAACAGTTCCCCTCAGCTGTGTGAGCCAAAGTAAATCTAGCCCTGGCCTTACTCAGCAAGAGCTAAACCTGGATAGCTGTACTTCACTTCTCAGCAGAGACAACTCACTAGGCAGCCCTTTTAGAAGTAAACCATTCTAAGAACATCTTTTCTTACCAAAAGCCTTAGACACCTATGTGTACAGTCTGACTACCTCTAAAGAGCTCCTGAACCCCTTGGAGAGGGGCAGGGCACAAAAGGCATGGAAGAGAGCGAAAAGACAAGAATGGAGGGGCAGGACTTGGCAGTTGTTTCTTACCTCCCCAGGTTTTTGACCAAACTGTGATAAACTTATCAGAAAGCTGAAAGAGACTTCCTGTGCCTTTCCCCCTCTGGCAATAATCTTCTCTCAAAATGAATACAAAGGCAAACCACTGAACTTTCCTCAGTGTGTGCTTGTTTTCCTTCTTTTTGCAGATCCATTTGATGTTGACTCAGGAAAAGAATTTTCAAATCCAAACAGACCAATGAATTCTCCAGGGTAATGAAATTTAATTTAATTACATTTTTTTCTAATTTTATTTTGGTTTTATAATTTTGAAAAAATGTTTCCAGGCTAGCACAAGGTAATGAAGAGTCTGAGGACGACAGTGTGAACACTTCAGATGAAAGCACTGAAAGCAGTGATGAGAACAGCGCAGAAGATGCTGCAACGGCTGCCAATAAATCAACTATTTGAAAAGCAGAAACAGAAACAACCAAAAAGACTCAAATAACCACCCCTCATACCACAAGAACATTAAAAAAAATTAAAACAACTCCCAGAATGTTCCAATGTCTCATATTTTATTGTAAACCATGTGGCTTGTTCACCTGTAACTTGGTGCTTAGCAAATGTCTTTCTTTAGGTGAACCTTAGGCTACATGTGGGTTTATAGGTCTGGTTATGCACATAAAGGCTTTTCGTTATTTAATTTTTAGCTAATTGTTTAAGGAAAGATAATAATTATATAAAGAGTCTGAAGCTTAGTTACGAGTTAAAAAACCCTGTATTCTAATCAACATGTCTGGAAAGTAGTTTATAGGGATTATTTTTATCTAATAGTACATTAAACCCTTTAACTTCTGGGCTATATTTCAGCTGGAAAACATAGGACTGTTATTGCCCTGTTCAGAGTACCTAACACATAAGGAGTCTGCCTTTTTGCAGGCTTGAACCCGCTGTATCTATTTCATCTACTTCATCCAGTTTAGGGTAAAAAAGAAAAGAAAAAAAAAGCAGCCTGGAATTGTTTTAACATCTCAGTATGTAGCACTACACGCCTTTTTTTTTTTTTTTAATTTCCTCTGATAGACAATCCTAAGTAACACACAATGTTTTGGTACTTTACATTCAGAACTGTACCATAAAATTTCAGGTAACGGGTCTAGCAGTGCTATCTGACTGCATTCTCACTGCTTGAAGTAGCGATGTGCCACATCAAAAATACACATTGTCTGGCCCTTGAGTCAGACTCTGATCAGCAGTAGTATCTTGGTTCAGTTTTCCATGTGCCCGCCACTTTGTATAGGGAAGGTGCAGCTGTTAGTTTTTTCCTGTACATTTAAAGAGAATGCTTTTCTGAGTTTCCAGCGCCCAACTGAACCTTATTTAAACCTGAACTTGAGAAACCTTTTAGTAGAATTTGAGATACTGAGGACAATTCATTGCGTTACCTTCATATATACAAGTTCTTCAAGTCACAGCAAGATTTTCAGCTCTTAACCCTCTTCCTCTAGAGGGAGATTAAATGCTAGTCCTACCGGAGCTAGAATTGCAACTCACAGCAGCAGTTTTAGTGGTACAAATACTCCATTTCCCTTTAAAAAGAAAAAAAAAGAAGCCCAAGTAAATGATTTTGTCAGGGAATCTTTAACTCAGTTTCTCAATTACTTGCTTTCCCACCCCAAGCATGTGAAGTCTTCCCCAAATCAGCTGTCCTAACAAGGATTTCTAGAGTGACAAGGAAGCAATCCTACACAATTTTTAAAGGATCGAGAACAGTGTCAGGGTGTTAGCTATTCTAATTTAGAGGTACGCTTTTATAAAGCTATCATAATCAAATGCAGACAAGCAGAACAGACCTGAAAGCAGAGCTGTATCACAATTAGAATAACTTAAAAGTCTCTAGCAGTAGTAATTTTTTAATAATGAAAGCACTGAAGCTACAGCTCAGAACAAAGCTTTTCACACCTCATCTGCTTTGCAGAATGATTTTGACTGAAAAATACAATTAGAAAAAGCAGTGAAAGTTTAATAAAGGGCGTATCAGCTTGACATACATGAAAATAACTTACATAATTTAACTTACTTACTTTACAGAAGGAAACTAATTGCATAGAGCATGTCCTTTTCCTAAAAGCTATACACGTTGACGTATGTACACAGGCACAGAAGTATTTCTGATAAACAAGTACCACTTAAAATCCCCAGTTGCTGTAGGTCTCCTTGCATTCCTTGGACAACTTCTGTTCTTGTTCACACCTGTCTAACACTTGTGATCGTTAACACAGTCACACCAGCACACTGATCCCATTGCACAGTCAGCAATTGGTCTCCAGCTACCAGCACTCGCTGTTGAAGGAACTGACCACAGTTGAGGAGCTGCCATTACCACTCGGGGCCCAAAGGGCCACGTTCGTGCTGGGGGTCGGGGCATGGAAAAGAAATGAAGACAACATCTAAACAAAAGGTGAGTGCAGCATCACAGGCCTTAAAAAGAGGACTTGCACTAAGTTGTGTTCAGAGCCATTGAAATGGCAGTCTTTTAATTATTTTAATGAAGATAAATGAAACAAAGCCCTTTATATAAACAGTTTATTTACTCTAAACAGCAACACAGACAGAACGCCATATAAACACAAAGGAAGTGATGCAGAATAAGGATGCTGGCTGACTTTGGATCTCGGAGGCTCTTAAGCAATAACAACCTAGTTTCTGAAATATAGAAAAACAAATTCAGGGAGGGAAGGGGGTGGAGGGCGTGATTTTATTTTTTTCATACAGCCAGCTAGAGGCTAAATATAGTTCTAACATTTTAAAGCATGCCTGCATCAGATAGCAAAGTAACTAGAGATACTAGTGAATTTATAGAAGTATAAAAGTTTATAATTTTACAGCAGTTGAAATACTGACATCAATATTAAAATAAAAGCAAGTTTTACATAACAATCAAAAATACAAAAGACTGAAGGAAGAGACCCTGTATGAAAAAACTGGGGGCAATTCAGCAAATTTAGAACTGTATACAAGTGGTGAATATGGAAAATGGCACACATACAACCCCCTCCCCTAAGTGGATATTAATTGTACATAGCAACATTAGATTTTGCAAAAGTTTTGTAAACAAGTTCTTGCCAAACCAATCCCTTCCTTGTTAAGATGCTGCATGACAGATGCTTATGATGGTGCAAACTTCTTGGCTTGTGCTCGAACCCTCTTTTCATATTCCACTCTGTTTTGGCTGAATAGAAGAGAGAGAAAGGGTAATTACAGCTTGAGAAATCAGAGGCTATATTATTGAGTTACTGTTCTTCTATTTCTCTTCAATATGAAACCAAGTCATTGCTGAAGGCAAAACCATTAGATAGGAATTCAGTTAACACTACAGTATATTAAAGGCTTTTCTGGACCATTACTCTGATAATTTCCTTTGGAGGGAAGTAAGGTACTGTTTAACTAGTTACTTCCCAAACTTCACTGGTTGTCAAATGACCATACTATCTGACTTCACACCATACCAGTCTCTATGAACAGTTTTGCACCTGCTCTTTCTCAAGACCTGTTGTACTTTACGTGCAAGCATCCTTACTCATCTGAACGTAAGTTTTCCACTCCACATGTTAAGACCTGAGGTGATAAACAATAAATTTCAGTATCCTAACAGCATGAAGTGGTTGATGAGAGCAGTTCACTAACAGTTGGTGGAGTTGATGATTTTACAGTATCATCTTTACTGCTTTGGGGAGAGGGGAAGCGCTTTTTAAGAAACTGGAAAACAAAAACAGTATGGTAGTTTCAGCCTTTATTTCTGCAGACCCTGACTCACAGCATTAGGTTTATCCTAACCTTCAGTTGAAAAAGAGCTAGCTCAACATTTTGAAAAAATGCTATAGTTTATTAAGTCTAGCACACTGGCTACACATTGATTAAACAAGCAAGTACTACTTCAAGGAAGTATGACCAGTCATTAAGCTTCAGATCCAACACATAAAAAGGCAAGTCTTTTGTTTACTACTCTTGGGCCAACAAGGGATGGTAGTAGCTTAGTAGAGCATCCACTTACATTTAACACCAAAGTTTGTATTAGCTGTCAGAAGTGTCAGTCAAGAGCTAAACAAAAATTTGTTACCATTACACTTGTGCCAAAGGTAATTTACAGTGACTAGATTTTGCAGACAGCTTTGCAGTAAACTTAACTTACTTTCAGATATGAAGGCTTGCTGCAGTAAAAAAAAAAAAAAAAGAAAAAGAGGCAGCAAATTATAACCTCAGAAGCTGACAGTTTGTGAGGAAGAAGAAATGAAGCCAATTTTGGTCACATTCAATGAACTATTACCAGCAAACAGACTGAAAATAGTTTTTTCTCAAACAATTTTACAAACTTTATTCTAAGATTTTCCTTTAGGTTATATTGCATTGTCACACGAGAACACAACCTGGCTGTTTAAGTCTCGCACCCTCAGAGTCCACACAAAAGAGTGCCTCCCTACAGCAGCCCCTGCACTGCCCTGCAGCAGCCAGGAAGAAATAGGTTAGCACATTAGGAGTGCTAAAGTTACAGAGCAACAGTACCAAAACAATCCTGAAAACAAGTATCCTTATTATGAACAAAGTTAATCAACTTGACTAAAAGACATCTGTTTAAACAACACTGCATCTTCCTCAGTATTTATCAACTAAGCTAAATTGCAGATGTATACACAATCCTGCTCTGCTGTGCTGCTTCTACCACTTACTCACTAAGTAGTAAGAGACACACTGCAGAAATATAGTAACCCGTCTGAAATACTAAACATGTCCAGAAGACATCAAGACGATAAATGGGAGACTGTATAAATTTGAAGTAACAAAAAACACGTGTAACAGTTTATTATCAATAGATGTTTTTTCCTAGAAGCACTTAAAGCAGAAATATGACCAAAGACTGTTTATGAACCTACGAACATGTGGGAGTTGATAAAAAAAAAACCAGAACACACAGACTATTTATACATGTACACAAGTATACTATTCCTGCCCAATATTCCCTCAGAGTGGCTTTAAAAAAAAAAGCGCGGAGCCTGCCTCATCGTTACTGGCTCCCAAAGATGCTGCCAACAACTGTGGCTACCTGACTGTCCTCCATATGCACTCAGTCCCATCAAGTCTTCAGTAGATACTTAAAAAAATACACTTGGGCGAAGGCTTTATTTAAACCCAAAACACACTATTCTTCCCTGTTTCCTTTACACTAGGATCCTGTAACATACATTTTTGCCATAGCTTGCGTGTCTCATAAAATGCCATTTTTCAAAACTTGGCACTCTCCTAGAGACTTGTTCTTCTGCCCATAATGGTAATTCCACTTTTCCATCTTGGTCATTATTTCAGTAGCTGTCAGTGACAAAAGCATTTGTTTGAAGTGTTTTGCTCCCCTAAAAATTACAGATCAGCCACTCATTTTTACTGGTGGGAAAATTCTAAGGTTAAGCCTAAAA